CACACACACACACAAAGTCTCTGATAAGGACAATGAAACTTTTGATGTCCCTCGAGGGATACAAGATGGGTTCCAGATGTATGGAAACATGCTGCTTCAAGACCCCCCCCCCCTCACACACTTCACATCGCAGGAGAAGATATGAAACATGCACAGTAAATCCCTTTGGCTTGTAATTTGCTGGCTTGACTCAGAATGCTTGAATTTGCATAAAAATAGACCAGGGTCTGTTAACAATTCTGCTTAGATGTAGGGTCAATGTCTCAAAAATGTCTAACTTCCACTATTGATGTATGTCTGTCAACTTTATAGAATGAACAGGTCAAACCTGTCCATTTGGTTTAATTTGAATGGACTCCTGATGACGTTACAAAATTTCTTGTTACTCAAATTTCGCAACTTCTGTTTATGTGCATCTGTCGTCGTTTTTAGGATGGATGAGAACTATAATATTGTCCCTCATGGAGTGAACTTCCAGGACCCTATCTTCCCCGACACTGCAGAGATCCACCGCACGTTTTCCAGCCTTTTCCAGTTTTCGAACTGCACGCCCGGAACTCAAGTCCACAGCTATACCCCAGAGTGGGAGGCTCAGGAGGACAGCCGGGTATGTAGCCCATCAGAGCCATAAACCAGTTGCTAGTGTTGATGAAAAGTTGTCTCTCGCACTCGGTTAGTGATAAACATCTATTTTGATTCAGTTGTTGCATATACAAGGTGGCTACCCAAATTATTTGGAAAAAAGAGTGGAATAAAGGATGCAGTATTACACCCGGTTGTTTTCAAAGGAATACTGTGAAGATGCTGGCAAGTTAAATATGTCCTTAATGCATGGGAAACCAAACACACATTTCCTGAGGTTTTTGCCAGACAAAGAAGTCACTATGTTTAAAGGAAAATTTTACTTTAAAAACATTGTTTTTGCCAGCTCTTTGGAAAACCATTTTGTTGTTTATTGGAGTATTTTCTAATTTCCAAAGATGAGAGCCCTAATGTTGAAGTAAGTGGCATCATGTGGAGACATGTCCAGTGCAACTACAATGGTCTTTGATAGCTTATAAAAACGTCATGTTTGGCTGTCAGTCCCTCAGAATCACCACCATACCACATGCTGTTTTACAATGAAGCAAGCTGAAATTCATCACAGAACAAACAGACAAACATTTTTAGATCAGAACACAAGTGTGGTAGTGAAGTGGATGGCTTAGATCAGATGGACTGGAAAAACTAAATCTCCACCTATTTATATAACCAATGCAACAAGTTCATGTCCATCTGTTGGGGGGATCCTGAAATGAATTTATGGAAATCTAGAAAATCACAAACTAAAGTAAAACCAGGGAAAGTGGATACATCATAAAAGTAAAGTACAACTCTGAATCACTTAATAGCTCCTGGATTACACGGGATGATGTTGATTAATGACAGTGTGAGTGTATCTAAAGGTCATTACTCTATTTAATGCTTATGACACTCATGTTGATGCACATCAGATTTAGAAAATTTCCTCAATTAATACGTCCCAGCTCTGGTTTCACAACTTTGCTAGTGAAAGGTCAGCTCACTGTTACTTAAACATCACTGGCAAACACAAACACCTGGTGACTCTGTAAGTTTCCTTCATTTTGTCTCAGAGTCCACATGTCCATATATAAATGGTTTCCAGTCACTCACCAACTGCTTTATCCTTTTTAATGAAGCTAAACCTTTGGCATAATCCCTCTGATTTAGGTCAGTCCTCTTCTGTCTGTTTCCAATCATTTCTGACTACTCATAAAAGCAAAATCATCTGCCATGGGTAATGAGAATGAAAACATGGTTCGTATTTCCATTACATATAACTTTTGTGTCAGGCCTGTGATTATAATTACAGAGCAACATTTAGGTATCAGTGCTGCTTTCTTACGTCATCGTGATTAGATTTCCTCCTTGCAAAATAAAAAACAGACTTTGTTTTTACTGGTACTACACAACCGTTGTTTGGACAACTGACCCAAACTCACACCAGAACAGATCACATATTATTTTTCAGCATCAACCAAAGTAAATCATATGTCACGTTGTCATCTTAAGATTAAACATCAAACAGTATCAGCAATAAAAACATTTTAACAAGCAACAAGGGTTTTTTCCCACAGTTTTATGGTCCCAGCACTAATGCAGAAATATTAGCTTTGACTTGATGGCTGGATACAAAGATAAAACTAATTGCTGTCCACAACATTTTAGCTTAAGCTAACATGGTTAATGTGGCAGACACCCACCAGTTTTTTCTTAGAATGGTTTCAAACATACCTCCTCTGAGATGGGAAATGACACTCAGAAGACTTTTACTGCATAAAATTTTAACCCTTTTGTGTTGTCCATGTTGCAGTTGTGTTGGGATGCTGTCAGAGTTGATAAAATCCTCCTTGGTACTGAGGTTGTGCCCCATGGATTAATTTTGGGGCCTCTCAAATACTAGGTGATTTGGAGTTTGAAAGATGCATTTGCCAGGTGGGGAGGGTCTAACAAAAGTGCTATGTAAAAGAGTTGCATTGTGGGGAATGGAGCAATCAGTGTTTTTGGAGCTTAAACTATACTAGGGTCTAAAAGTCAGATATCCCTGCCTCAGCTGCTTCGACTTTCACTATTCTTTTTAAATCTGTCTCCACTTAATGAAAGTGCAATGTTAATGTCAAGGTGATTTTTCTAGTCACGAGGGGTTAAAAGTCTTAAACAGAAAGTCTGCTTTTCCAATTCCAGGTAACCATTTCTATAAATGATATTGTCTCTTCTGTATTTGATTGATCTTTATGCAAGCAGTACTATTTTGCAACATACTTTCTGATTCTGTTCAATCTGTTAGGATCATTAAAGGCAGACCCAAACAATGGAGTTGAGTGGTATAAGAGAGGTTTAGTGCATTAAGGAATGTCAGAGCTTGGTTGAATAGGATAGTTGATGGTGTGAGCATGGCTGGCTGAGGATAAGATCAGGGGTTTTATGGGTAACAGATGAGGCGGACAGACAGACAAGCGGGTTATGATCCACAGTAGGAGAAACAACAATCTGTTGCTGAGTGGATGGAGAATCAAAGTAGATATACTGTTAAGTTGATGAGTTGATGGAAGGCAGGTGAGCAGACAGGGAGAGGCGATGAATCAATTGCAGACAGGTGTGAAGAGGAGCAGAGCTGGGAGCCAGGAGGTGAAGACCACGCCCACAACACACAGACGGGAGTGCTGGAGACACAGGGGAGGGGGAAACACCAGAAAACACAAGGGACAAGGCAGGGTTACAGCCGTGGCCATGACACAATCTCCCAAATTCTCTTTTTATACGCAATGTACTTTGTTGTTGAGATCCAGAGACAATAACTTGCATATCTCCTTTCACACTCAATATTGAGAGCATCACAGAATATAAATATTTTGGAATCTGGCCTGGTGACAAATATACATTTAAATATCACATAGAAAATCTTGTTGGTAAACTGTGATAGAGGCTTGACTTTTGGTACAGAAACAAAACAAGCTCGTTGGAGCAGTTTTCCTTTATGTTCTACATTATTGAGATGTGATTCAATTATATACTACTGTGTCCATTCTTCAGCCCTTAAACTGTTAAAATGTTCACTCTTATGTTTATGACTGGAGGCAATGTAAATATTCACTGCTGCATTTTCTATCATAAATAAGATTGATTTTCCTTCCCTGATTGAGAGACATCCATTGGTATATATATTTATCTACAAAACCCTTGCTGGAAAATCCCCATCTCATATCTCATCTTTGCTGCTTTACAACTCTGGCCCATATTTAACCTGCCCCAATGATTGGTTAATGCTTATGAAACAATAAATCACAACTAATGTAGGGAAGGCTGCTTTTATTGTTAGTGCAGTGGCCTCATGGAATAGTTTCCAATATCACCTAAAGTTTAAAACACTCACACCGCTCTGTAACTTCAAAACCATTCTCCATAATAATCATTTACCTGCATATAACTGCTTTAATTCAGCCTGCACCCTCTTTATTGTCTATTATTATGCCCTGTTTAGGACTCTGTCTGTCATTTCTCAAAGTGCCTTAAGTAGCAATGTAATTAGCTTACATAACATGATCTTTAACTAAATTTACATCGTTATCAAGTTCTATCCTGGACATGTGGCACAAGAAAGTGTTATTATTGCCAGTGCCCTTTCATTGCATGGGTATAATATGCCTTTTTTCAGCTGCTTGTTGATTTCATTCTTTGGGTCACTACCCAAAGCTCATGATCATAAGTCAGGGTTAGAACGTTCTTCACCACAACACATTACTGCTGACGCTGCCCCAATCTGCCTGTCGATTTTACCCTCATTCATGAACAATAACCCGAGATACTTGAACTCCTTCACATGGAGCAGCAACTCACTCCCATCCCAGAGGGAGCAATCCTCCATTTTCCTGCAGAGAACCATGGCCTCAGAGTTGGAGGTGCTGACTCTCATCCTGACCACTTCATTGCATGCAGAAGATCACGGTCTGATGAAGCCAACAGAACCACATCATCTGCCAAGAGTAGAGAAGCAATTGTGAAGTCCCCAAACTGTCTGATCAGGATGCCTCCTGGGCTCCTTCTTTTGGGGGTTTTCCATCGAACTGGTAGGAAACTCAAAACACGCTGGAGAGATTATATATCTTATCTAGCCTGGGAACGTCTCAGGATCCCCAAGGAGGTGCTGAAAAATGTTGCTGGGGAGAGGGAACTCTGAACTAGTTTGCGTCCATGTCACATTAATAAAGCAGAAAAACTTATCATTAATTTAATAGAGTGCAGTAACCTAAATATTTGTCCACACTGCAGCTGAAACAGCCCTATAAACGTGGATGGAAGTCATACCTGAATGCACAGAGCAGTGATGTGGCATTTTCCACCCTCTGCTTTACATAACTTGATTGTTCTGCTCCTGAACTTCTTTCTTTGCATTATAAAGTTTCATACCCTTTTCAAATCCCTCATGGGACATAAGTAAGAGCACATGGGAAAAATCCACAGCTAATATTACAGTGGGTAATGTACTAACCAGTCATATGGGCCAGCAGCCAGCCAGCACATTTTTAACATTTCCTCAAAACCCTCAGTGGTTGTTATCTGATGGCAGGGAATATACATCAGTGTTTCACACTGGCCCGTGTGGAAGCATTAGGGTCTGTGAAGGAAATCCACACTCAGGCAGACAGGCGTGCATTCGGAGGCAGCTGGAGCTAATTTTTTCACCTAGGAAAGGTCCCGGGCCTTTGGATCGTCTGTCGTACGTTCGCAGGCATGTTGCGCTATTATCTTGCAGTGGCGTCTTGCTGAAACAGACGGAGCATGTTGTGTAACTATTTTCTTTACCTTTAGATTCATCTTGGTCCATACCTGGAACTACAGTGTGTGTTGTCTTTGGCTTATTTAAATTGACTGGTACATAAAAAGCAGGGCATACAATAAAATGGTAAATCTTAAAGTCTTTACATTTCCACGAACTGTTCCACAGCAAGAAAGGTATAATCTCAAAAATATTTAATCATTAATTTGACTTTTTCCCTTCCTTTTTTTTCTTTTAAGGCTACAAGCTGCCAAAAGTTTTCTTTTTAGACTAACTCATACACAAACAGTGGAATATGCTCAAAGATTTAGGAGCTATTTGCACTGCTTGTCAGTCCAACGACCATGCCAGAGGTGTTCACTCATTTGACTTATCCAAAGGAAATCCAGAATCAAAAACTGCAGATCTGTCAAATGCTACGTCATAAATGTAACAAAAATATATTAAATCTGACACTAGTATTTAGTATGAGCCGTTATGGGACAAAACTCCAAATAGGATTCCATCCAAAAGCCAGTGCAAGAGGAAAAATCTGTTGGGAATATTTCAGAATATAAACCGATACTGACCTTCTTCGTGCCATGATTTTTAAGGAACCTGAAAGTAATTGATCAATAATTTGACGGTCCAGAGTTTTAATGGCTTAACGTCAATCATATTTGTCTGAAGTGCTTTTCCTGATATTTCAAATGTATTTAAAGTAACAAACACATTTCTTTTTCTCTTCCATTTAGTTGTTGTGCTCGGCAGTGCAGAAGGCTCTGTTTGAGGAGGAGGAGAGGGTTAGGACTCTCTCCCAGCAAGTGCGTTCCTTGGAGAAAGCCAATGACCACCTGAGGGAAAAGGTGAAGAACATGAAACGTCAGCTACGCCAAGCCCAACGAGAAACAACGAAGCAGCAACAGACCCTCAGCCTCAAACAGCTATACGAGCCAAAGACGCCCCAAATTCACCCTGATCAGGACACTACCCAGGACCGGAAGAACCCACCACTTAAAAAGGTCCTCTCCAAGAGGCTAAAAAAATAGTTTTCTTTTTTTTGTTGTTGTTGTATGTAAACCAAGCATTGCTCCCTATGAAGCATCAAGGACAAGGCAAACTGGGGCAAAAGACTCCAATAGCACCAACAATGGACAGTTTAGAGTAACATGATGAACTTTAACTGTCATTTCAATACATTTTTCTGTGTATTCAGCCTAATTAATATGCCTATTTCTAAAGGAACATAAGACAAAGGTTCACCCAAATTTGGCCATTTTGCAACAAAACACTGTTGTTTTAGCTAGTTGAAAAATTGACCTGTGCCTTTGAGACTGTCAACTACAAAGAGACCATTGATGCCTATTCACATCCTTAGCCGTATACCTGTGTGTGTGTGTGTCTTTCACTCTTTCACTTGACCTATTTTGTGTCCCCAGATGAACTAAGGTGAAGGATTAACTGTCTCTGAGATAAAGGATTAAAATGGTTCTTCTCAACTCTTATTAAATCTTACCATTAGTCCAATATGATGATTCTCTTTCAATATATGTTGCTGTTGCCCGTCTGAACTACCAACCTTTATCTTTGTCTTTTGTTAGTTGAATTCAGTGGCAGCACAAAACATTTTACAAAAATCGGGCAGAGCTTACAGCTGGCGGATGCACTGTACGTAGACAATGTAAAAGCATTGAAAATGTAATATCTTGCTTTTTTCTGTGCTGGACACATTATGCATTGTATAGATATTAGCTACGTTTCTTACTTCAGAAAAATACTATCGTCAAAATGCTCAGAATCAACCTCTGTGTTTGAGAGTCCACATTTGGAAAAGGTAATATGAACATGTCTCGCCTTTCAGTCAGAACCAGAGTTTATCATTTTCAATGACCAGTTCTAACTACAGTGAGTGTAAGTACAGAATATACACGTTGTGAGCATTAAAATCTTGTGTGTGGAAATACATAATGCTCTGACTGTGTATGTTAGCACATAGTCAGAAAGGAGCAGCTGAAATTTAAAGGATACAAGACCTGAGGTTAAGTCACATCGTTCTTTTCTACCTTTGCCTGCTTTTTATTTACATGCTTGATCTATTTATACCCAAGAAACTATCCCCACAGTGTAGTGATTCTTTAAATTCAGTGAATTGTTTTTCAAGTTCTCCTTTATGCAAATTGTACTGAATGAAAGTGTAATTTTTGTATTTGAAAACAGGGTGCTGAGCACTCATTAAGTACAGCCAGTGAGCCTGGCGTGGTACAGGATTGGCCTTTTCTGTGTCAGAAAACAAAGTTTGCTTTTATTATACTGTCTGTATACTGCTTTTCTGATTGTTTTTGCTTTCTCTAAACTATAAACATCTGGTTTGCTTTGCCAATAGCATAATCATTTGTGTAAAAGTTATTGTTTTTTTTGTTTTGTTTTTTTAATAAATAAATGAACTTTTACAAATCTTCCTATGTCATTGTTTGTAGTTGGAATTAGAAAGAAATACATCCATTGCTGTAGCCTGTGCGGTCAGCATTACATCTGAATCTACAAAGCTTTCAACTTATAAATCAAACAATAGAACCCAGTATTGTGTAAAGTTGTAAAAGTACTTTCCTATGCAGCGCCACGATGGGAAACGGAATGAAGCGGTTGCAATGTGTTAAAGATTTGCGTTTTTATGCTTGTATCTTTTGCCTCATTGACTTTTCCGGTCAGCCACAGAAAATAGTTTTATTTTAAATGTGTCTAGCCAAACATCAGAACAAAGCGACTACTGAGAGAGTTGTGATGCAGAGGGGTAATGAATTCAAGTGAATGTTTCAAACTTCAATTGTAACGTTTCCTGCTTTCCATGTATTCAAGTCATAAATGATAAATGCTTCTTGGCATGTACGATATGTTTAGTGCAATTGAGTGCTAGTAAATCAAAAGGTTTCAAAGAACTGGTGCAAATTCAAAAGCAACATAAATCCTAAAAATAAATTGGCCCTATTTTGACCTCTACCTTTCAACCTTTTGTCCAGTTTACATCCAGTGCGATTTCAGAAATAACACAGGACCATTTCAGACGTGAAACCGCCTTGGCAGATGAAATTTTCAACACGATTTCCAGGAGAGCTGAACCAAATTTCTTCCATATGGTGCTGTCACATAAAACTGAGGGAATGAGAGGAAATGTTTGCATGGCGAGAGGAGAAACAAGAAATGGACACATTTCAAACAAATTTTATGTCAGGAACTCTCTTGCAGGATTGTTCTGCAGTAAAGCTTGATATGCAGGAGACATTTACAAGCTTTTTTTCTTCATTTGACCAGCTAAGAGAGAAAGTGTTGCAGGGCAGCTCATCTTGTCTCCTTGTTAGCTTTTTTCTTCTCCCAGTGAAACCTTTGCATTTGACAACCTTGCCTGCAGCCAACTGTCAAAATCCCATGGACATCTGCCAAAGATGATATACACACACTGCTTTCTCAACATAAACCACAGTGCACAGCCAAGCTGCAAAACAGATGTCAGGCAATACGACTGCACAGTGGTGGTCCCTTTGGAAGACCTGGCTATCTGTGGACATGGTTTATTTATCTTGCCTTGTTTTATGTTTTCAAATGCTGTTACTTTCTCTGGCTGCTCTGGTTTCATTTAGTTTCATATTGATAATCCCAGAATATCTGACTGGCTAATACAGAACATCTATATAATAATAATATTCACTGAATTAGTACAATATAACAATGGTTTTCTACCAAAGATGTTTTGGGGTGGTCAAGGAGTGGCTGAAAAAACATTTTAACATTAATGAAACATTAATGAAAAAAAGGTTGAGAATCGCTGCTGCAGAGGACATGGATGTTTATTCAATGGAAATACATCCAGCAGTTGAGGGACCAAGTGTGCACACATTGCCAGACAAAAAATATCACCGCAGGGCACAAAAGAGTAAAACGTCTGCACACTCCAATTTTAATTTGTATTCTCTTTTTTACGTTTCAGTCTGCAAGATCTTCTTCAGGCAAATGTCAAGAGAAAACAGGCAGCAATCAGCTCAAATCACTAACACCTGCTGGTCAGCAAGCAGCAGGAAAAAAAAGTCCCACAAGATGGCAAACACAGAGGGTAGAAACACCAGGAAATGATTTCAAAAGTACAATACACCTGAAAACATATGTACATCCAGCAGCTATCATGACATCTGACTCAAAATCACAAACGTCAGCCGGCTGGTGGTGCTTGGGAAAGTCAGTGAATCATCAAAGTCAGCAGGATTCATCATTTGGGCATTATGAATGTCTGCAATACGTCTAATACTCGATGGGATATTTCAGTCTGGACCAAAGTGATGGATCGACTGACCAGCCATAGAGCCATGTTGTTAGCATGTCTAAAAAAGGGATACATGCATTTTATAACACCAGAATCTGCAATTCAGATCAAGCAAGAAATTTGATATTAAGTTTCACCCAAGTGCAAGTCAGTGATACAAAGTGAACATTCAGCACCTCTGTGAACTGGGCTGGACTTGAGTGGAAACGGCTCCTCATCATCTCTACAAGCTGTACGCTGGAGAGGACGACGTGATTTTTCATTGTAGCCTGTCCACGTCTCTTTCAATAAAGATGATTGATGTGTGTGTTTGCCCTCAGAGATTTCTGCTGTTCCAGTCTAAGTAAAATCACAATGCTGTGCTTTTAGCCTGAGCCCCATACTGTAAGCACAAGAGTGGGAAATTCAGCACCAGTATCTTGCCAAAAAGAGTGAGCTCAGTATTTTACTTCAAGGCCACAATAATGACCATAACACCAGATTAAATTCTGTGTCCCAGTTATGGCATGCAAAAAGGCCATGGTTCAAACTAGAGAATTTGGATTTCACTGTTGTTTTTTCACCCTGGGAAATAATTTTGCGTGTCCACAGTTTCTGACTAAAGGCCACGACACACAGGCTGTGGAAATCACTTCAGGAGAAATAGAAAGGGTGTATGCTTTTGGTTGTGTTCTTCTGTCACCTCTTCATTATTCTTCCTTTGTTTTTTCCCCATTTGCCTAAATGCAAACTGCTGTTTTTACCTCCACAAACAACCTTCTTTCCCTCCTTCGTCCTCCTCTTCTATCTTCTATTTCCCCACTTTCTTTGTCCCTCCATCTTTCACTTGTAATTATTCCCGTTTTTGTCTGAGTTGCTAACAAACTCCACAAGACAAGCGAGAGGAATCTTACTTCATGTGTTTGTTGTTAGCGCTGCCAAGCTGTTTTTAATGGTTAGAGATGAGGATGTTAAGTTTATGTCGCTATTTTCCAGCCCGCGTGTTTACTGCGTTTTTGAGAGATTGTTCAGCATTTGAGGCTGTTCTGTGTTTTATTCTGGACTGCATGTGGAGTTTCTGCATTGTTTTGAGAGAAGAGTATCCTGCTGTGGGTTGACTGTTTGACTTTGTAAATCCACCAGTTGTATGGTTACTGGTGATCGATGTCACTGTTTTCATAAACACTGAGGTGTTGCATGCATCTCTTTTTAGATGTCAGACATTTTGAGTTGGCCAGCGTTTGAGATCTGATTGAGAGCTCAAGTATCATTAGCTGACTCAGAGCTGAATGGTGAGGACGTTTTGTGATGGAGGTGATTGGGAGATCAGGAGAGTCTGAGCATCAGATGGAAACAGTGGTGGAGCAGGACGGATCCTGCAGTGTGGTCATTAAAGGATTGACAGTGTTAAAATCAGTACTGCTCGACTGCATATAAATAGGGTTGTAGAATATCTGTCAAATGTAAAACTGTGTTGTATTCAGTGGCCAAAAAGCCATTATTGCAGGTTTGAGGTACAGTATCTGTTTATTGGACTGATAAGCTGCAAGTGTATACTTTCAATGGCTGCAAGTACTAAAAGCGAAGCTAGCAGCTAAGCAATCCAACAGATGCGAGCAAATGTGTTTGTGCAGCTCTAAAAGGACTAAATTAGGTCCCACTGATAATATTTTTTTTTTGTGAAAGCTAATTGCTTCCTGGTGAAGCAGATGCAACACAAATGTTACACAACAGGAAACCCGTTTTGGACAACCAGATAATAAAAAGTAGATGTTGAAAATTGAGTCACCTATTGGCAGCTCTCTTCAACCCCTATTAACTTAAAATTCCATTAATGTACCCAAAATTTATGACATTAATGCTTTTTATTTTGGGCATCTGGCAATGGATTATTAAGGAGACAGTTAACTGATATATGCAAACGGCCAACATACCAAAAAACATCTTAAAGGCCTTAATTTGAATAAATTTTAACTAAGGCTGCTGGATCATACCCCAGCACACATTAGCCGAGAGGCAGGGAACATACTGGCCAGTCTGTCACAGGGCTGACACATAGACAGACAGACAACTATTAATACTTTCAAATTAAGTATTAATTAAAA